ATTTTAAGACAGCCCTGCATAATTTGGCCATTTGCGTGTCGATCTGGTCAGAGAAACGCTTTACTTGTTCAAACTGAGGCTATTCAAAGAGCGATCTACAACAGGTAATATAATAACTATTAATAAACTTTTCCCATTCATTCAAACTTTATTTATAAAGGTTAGTCTCAATGAGCCACGGGGACTCATTTACAAGAGGGACCTGTTCTAGACAGAACAATAATAATAAACTACAGTAAAAATGTAGTTAAAATAAGAGTAGTGTATAAAATAAAACAGGGTGAAATACTAAAAACAAGAACATGTCTGCTTTAATGTTTCCATTGACATCATCAAATGTTTAAAACCTCTTAAAGAAATCAAGGTGGACAACTTCAGTTCCTGTTGCAAGGTGTTCCAGGTTGCAGGAGCTAAGTAGGAAAAGGCTTTTTTTTAATTCCAAGTTCAGTTCGCACTGAGGGAACGCCGCAGGTAATGATGTCCTGAGAGCGCATGTTGTAACTGCACTGACGGCGTGACATGTGGGAGGAGATATAAGAAGGAAGCAGACAAGGAGGGATTTGTAGATGAAGATGAACCAGTGTGAGAGCCTTCGTGTAGATGATGACCAACTGAGCAGTGAGTACAGGGTGCAGTGATTGGTATGGTAGTTACAACCAGAATCTTAGTGCGCCATGATAGACAGCATCCAACATCTGCAAGCAGCTGGAAGGAGCATCCATGTAAATAATATCACCGTAGTCAATTGCTGGTAGGAAGGTAGTGGCTACAAGGTGTTTTCTGGCATTCAGAGTTAAGCTAACTCTATTTCTGGAAAACAAACCCAGTTTAAATTTCAGTTTCTTTGTCAAGTTTTGATATGTAGTTTAAAAGAGGGATGTGCATCGACCAAAATTCCCAAGTATTTGTAAGAATCTACAAACTCAATAGGAATATCATGCATGGATGAGATAGGAGGAAGAGTTGCTGGCACCGACTTCCTGTTGGAAAACAACATCCCTTTGGTTTTGCCAGCATTTAGCACCAGCTTGAGATGGAATAAGTCAGACTGAATGATGTCAAATGCAGACTAGATGCTGGAAAACCTTGGAAACGGTGTTAGCTCGGCAATAAACAACAATGTTGTCGGCATAGAGATGCAAGGAAGCGTCAGGAATGTTTAGACCTACATTATTTATATAAATTGTAAAAAAGAGTGGGACCTAAAACTGAGCCTTGTGGCACACCATTGGTGACCGTTGGGTAGCTAGATGAAGTACCGTTATGTCGAACACATTGCCTCCGACCTGAGAGATGGTTTGAGAACCAGCCAACAGTGTGATCTGAGAAGCTGAGAGCTTGTGTCATAAGATGTCATGATGTACAGTGTCAAAGGCTTTGGACAGGTCTAAGTAAAGTACAGCACAGAATCATACTTTAAATATTCTGAACTGTCACTTTAATGGAAGAAAAGGGGACTAAAATGACTTAAAACCTTTCATGTGCCCTGCAGGCAAAACAACATTCCTTCAACACTTCAGTGTCTGGGGAGGTAAATTTTTGAGGCTCCAAATAGATTCACTTATCAAGATTTTAAAAGATAAACACTTGAAGATAAAGTTTGAATGAGCTTTTAACGTACAGGGTGAAAAAACCCTGTAAGGTCTGAAAAAAAGCACAGAAGCAAAGATAGAAGGTGGATGCGTGCAATGTAGATACGTACTCTGAAATACTCTGCTGTTGTAAGAATAAACTCTGGCTTAATGGGAGAACATGAAGGTCAAGGTTTCTTTATTGTCGTTCGCATGTGGTACATGTGATGGAACGAAATTGTGTACACAGAGTCCCAGTTACATCCAACACAAGTACAAACTGTACAAGAAACAGCAATAAGATATAAGATATGAACCAAGAAAAACGTTATCTAAAAATACACTAAGTATTAGTAGCATAAACACAATACGCTGAACAGCAGCACGAACATGAGTCTGTGTGAGCAGATGAGCACGGATGAACACAGCAACGTGAAATAAATCAGCAGCATGAGATCAGCAGCATAGGTAGTCAGCAGCACATATCAACAATCAAGTGGCATTACAGTGATTTAGACTAAAGATCTCTGTGATGTCATAATTTTAAATAGATGGAGGGGACCACAGCTGAAGCTTTGCAGAAACACTCCTCATTAAGGACTCGTGAACATATCAGACATGTGAAAACTTGCTTTAACTTTAAACTTTAACCGGAGGGGGGGATGAAAACTCGCAGGGGAATGATAAAATGCAACATCCTGCCGCTTCTTCACTCAACTATTTCCTTGTTTGTGGACTGAAGGAGACTACTGGCATGACAGGAAGAGCCTCATTGTGGTTAGAGGGGTTATGTAACATATTGTCGTGCACCAAGGGAACGTAATGCACATAAAATAAGAGCCGCTCGGTGTAGATTAGGGACCGAGTCCTCTCTCAGCTGGGTCCTTTTCATGAAGAAGCTGGGGTTTCAGGAAGAACGCAGCAGACGTGACCACCTGCTCGAGCACTCGAAAGCAGAACAGAAACTTCAAACTTGTTTTTTTTTTCTTTGCCATACGTATAAAGAACATAAATACGTGTAAAACAAGCTTGAAAGGAAGAGAAAACGAAAACCAGCTTGAGATGTCATGTCAAACCGGCATTCCTCCGGCGTTACTCAAGCTCCAAACGCCAGCGACAACGTGGTGAAACTTGTCTGACTCAACTTTAAACGGTGAAATATCGACTTCCTTCTGTAGCTGTCAGCTGTGGCGAGAAAAGCCAACGTGAAAATCAAGACACAAAACGTCTCAAAGCCCAGACGCCCTAATGGGATGAACAAGAAGGGAAGCTTTAGATGATAGAGAAGCTACCTCTGTCACATAGATGAGCGGGATGGCGCTTTTGTTTTTCCTCATGCCTCTTCGTCCTCAGTCTGGGGGTCAAAGTGCAGTGAAGTGCAGCTGCAGCCTTTGGGAACCCCCGAGAGCTCTGCTCCTCGGAAGTTTTAGGACTCTAATGGAGGACGAGTGAGTGTCGGACTCTTTATGCACTGGTGTGTGCAAACCTTCCTCTTGTGCAATGGTGGCAGCGGCTGTCAAAACCAAAAGCACTCTGATCCCGGCCTGGACTCTGCTCCCTCGTCCTGAGGTGTGCTCTCAGCATTTACTCTTATCTAGGCCTTATATGCTCAGGGGTAAGGACAGCCTTAGAAGGCGTGAAGGAGGCAGAGCAGTATTTTTCTGATGATGCCTATCAGAGGCAGAGGACTGAGAGAGGGGGGGTGAACGAGTGCAGAAATGTGAAGTTGGTGCAGGATTCACTCCCTGAGGGGTGTGCAGTCTCAGAACAGGACAGAGTCTAACAGCAGACAGATAACTGTGTTTACATCACCAAGGCCGGACTCTCTGCACCCACTCCTGCTCAGAGGTACGCTCTGTACGAGTCCAGACGAAGGGTCGACGCTACTTTTTAATCCAGCCAGCTGAAGAAAACGTGTCATTTCAGGCATCACTCCACGTCTTTGTTGGTATTAACAGTTCCTCGGAGGCCCGAGTGTCTTTGTGTTACATCAGCTCGGCTTTTGTTTAAATTCCTTTCCCGAGAAACGCTCGTTTTATCTCTTCATGGGATCATACGCACATAAATGACGAAAACAAACAAATAATTTCACTTTAAAGCAGCACTTTAAAATAGGCTGATATCTGTCCTGGTGCAATGTATAAAAATATAGAAATTAATGCGCATCGCCTGATTTTTAAACCAAGAGGCACGACAGAGTTCTTGCCGTTTGAGTCAACGTTTATAAAATAATAAGATTATGTGCAAATCCACTTTGTGGGAGGAGAGGGAGAGTGATGCAGAAGTAAGGAGAGGTGAACACTCAAGAGATATGACAGCAAAAATCCTGATCCTGCTGCCACCTCAGCACCAAACTGCATCAGCAAACACATCATCTGCTCCACTTACAGAGCACCAATCAGACTGCAGCCATCAGAGCCACTAATGAAACTGATCTGAAGGTGGCATGAACAAATAAAGGTGAACACCGCCCCCTAAAGGCCATTAAGGCTTACTGCACAAAGGTTTTGAAGGCTCATGTCTCCACTGTGTTCAACTCCTTACAGGTATAATAATCTTGCAGACTGAGTGAAGGCCCGCTCTCTGCGTCTTTACTGCGTTTTTAGTAGAAAATACGATTTGACTACTTTACTTTGCTCCGATTTAAATCAGTTTTAAAAAAATCGTTCAGGAAGTCAATCAAGTGAAAAGTGCAAATAAAAGAAAAACTGATTACTATTTCTAAGGATTGAAACACCTCTAAAATTTGAAATTAAGACGCAATGGTTTAAAACATACTCATGTTAATTTCAGTAAAATATTAAGGTGGATTTCAACACTTCTAAAAACAACAATATAAATTGGTCTATGGGGGTACAGAGAGATTTAATGTAATTGTGGCTGCTGTGCAGCTTTTTAAAAGATCCCATCAAACATTTTTAATTAAGTCCCTCTAACTTGAGATACTGTACTGTATTTAAATAAAAGAAGCTGTTTCCACTACCATGTCCGTAGCAATAAATAGGCATTCTGAACATGAAAATGTTAGCAAGAAAAATTAACAATTAGCTTTAGATTGAAAAGGAAGTTATTATTCCTAACTGATCATTTTAAGCTGTTTTACTGTTAGAATTTTTTTGTCCTAGGCTCATAGAAAAAAAACCTTTGTTTAAAAACAGGTCAACCTGCATAAAAAAGGTTGAATGAATTAAATCACAAGTTTTAGTTCTTAATCTGTTTTTACAATAAATCTTTTTTTTCAATAAACTGATAATTTTAGAAAGAATTTAGACAAACGAGAAAATTTGTTGTTTTCGTTGATTGTTTTAAGTAAACTCAATAGTTACTTCTCGGCTTTTCTGTTTTTTTGGGAGACACAAATCGAGCTACTTTAAACTTAAAAAAAAAAATAATAATTAAAAAAGAAACGGAACTGGAGAGAAACTCAGAGAAGTTTCAAAAGCGTCTGTGTGCAGATTTTATTCACAACGCGTTGGGACACAGATTTTATAATTTACAGCTCGTAAATTAAAACGGGCAGAGTTCACTGGGCTCCTGCTTTGGGGGGCACCCACTCCTGGATCTTCTTGCGGGTGGTGGAGTAGGGGACGTACTGCTGCGGGGTGCCGGTCGAATTGAGCTGATGGATCTTGGCGAGGAACTTCTGGGTTTCTAGAGGATGTGAGGAGGGTGGGAGGTCCGTTATACTGTGAAGCCAGCGATGCCTGAGCAAAAAAAAAAAAAAAAAAAAAAAGGGACAGAAGCACTTTAGGCTTAT